ATATATATATATATATATATATAATCCAAATATAATATCTGTTTCGTTCAAAAAAAATATTTTTATAAAGACTGATATGATAATAAAAACTGATAGTACGTATTTAATAAAATATGTTGGTATTTTATCATGAATTTTAACATTTTCTATAAGTTTTGTGTAAGGGTAAAATGCATCAAAATTTAACAATATTTGTCTTAATTTCTATTTAGTGTTTTTTTTTTTTGTTAACATGGATATCCAACCCGTTATGCGAGCCGACTAATCTCAAGACGACCATCCACTTCGCAGATAGTTTGGAGTCACCGCATTTGAACCTCCGTGACCATAAGAAGATTTTTATCCCTCATTCGATTCAAACTTGGAACATCCATGCACTTTTGGCATTTGAAGCCAAACTTAAACCATTCGGGCACCACCTTTGTGGTTTATTTAGTATTTTTTTTTTCTCAATTAACATTAGAAACATCCAATTCTTTCTATTTCGTACTCGTTTTGACCAGTAAGTAATAAATCTTGTAATTACTGATGATTTGACAACATAAATATCAATTCGTCAAGTTATAATTTAGTTCTTTTTTGCATGAAAAAATGTAACATCAAAATCAACTGATGTCATTTGTAAAATGCAGTATAAAATAGGAAGAATTAAACGTCTATTACTCTAACCGAAAAAATACAGTTTGGAACCAGTACAAATTTTGTTACATTTTAATGTATTTTACCCTTTTATTAATATATCAGTACATGGATAACGTTTAGATGTGGCTATGAAAGAAAATGAGATTTGTTAAATTACTAGCTAAAGAAGACAGTATTCAATAATAAGGCTTTTACTATTATAGATGGTCATTCACATCTATCGCAAATTTAGGGGGCGTTTGGTTCAGGCAGATGAATGAAAATGGATATGAAAATGAAAATGACAGAGAATAAATTTTCATTCCCCTCAGTTAAAATTGAAATGAAAATTTGGGCTGCTGAAGGAATAGACTAATGACAAAATTACCCCTGAGTTACAAGTTGTAACATATAGTACAAGCGTGGAAACGAGTTTTAAGTGCCTGAATGAAAATCAAGTACTCTGGAGTTCGAACAAATTCTAACAATTTGAAGAAATGCAACTGGCAATGGTTTTTTTAAATTACCAAAATACCCTCGAATTACAAATTGTAATAAAGAGAACAGGTATGAAACAACTTTTTAACACTTACAAACGTAAGTATTTTGATCACATTTTAACCATTTGAATTAACTCAATTGTCAGTGATTTCTCAAATGACCGGAACACTCTTGAATGACGAGTTGTAGCAAAGAGTATAAACGTTGAAATGGAAGGGCAAACTGGTCTTTTTATAATGGAAATTCAGACTCGTCCCATTGAAGAACTGCATCCAAATTCTGCTCTCTTTTGAGTTTGTCCTTCAAAAACCAATCACACACCTTCCCCGCGTTTAGTTCTTCAATACTACATCCTTCCTGCTCTCCTATCACTCTCAATAAGTTTAGCGACGATATCTGTATTACATGAGGTGTTGCAAAACTCGTCAAGCCATCGTAAAGAATAACTCGATACATAATTTTATGAAAACTGTCGATTGTTTATTCAGTTATTAAATACAAAAAAGTCCAATATACTTATTCGATCTATAAAAATAACAATGCCTCATATAAAAATATTTATAAGTATTGGATATTTAATATGCAAATTTGTTATATCTATACTATATTATAAATCATTTGACAAAAACTCTTAAAAATCATTTTTTATGCATGAAATACTGTTTATTGATACATATTACTTAAAATTCAAGATTACAAGTAAATTGTGCGTAAGTACAACTTATTAAAGTTTAATGTTTGAATTAGTGTAACTAACTGTGGATAAACATGGATAAACATAATCAAATAGAGGGTAAACATCTCATTTTAAATATAAAAAATCTAAATTATAATTGAGATAATCATTGAGTTATAACAAAATACTTAATTATTATCGTTATAAAAAGTTATATTATTAAATCAAAAATAAAAGAAAAATGAATTAAAGAAATATACAGAAAAAATAATAATTTTAAATAGTTAGTTTGATACAATCAATATATTTTTTAAATTTTTTATAATATATCTTTATATTTATATTTTATTTAAAAATAAAACCATTATCTTTTTCTCAAAACCACATAAAAACCGTATTATAATATCGACATAGACAAAAAATATAAAAAGAATCTCGCTGCATTGTGTGGGTACATTTCTAATATATATCTATACTATATTATAAAATATTTGACAAAAATTCTTAAAACCATTTTTTATGCATAAAGTATTGTATATTGATGCATATTACTAAAAATTCAAGATTACAAAGTAAATTATGCATTAAGTACAATTTATTAAAGCTCAATGTTTGAATTCGTGTAACTAACTACGGATAAACATAATCAAATAGAGGATAAACATCTTATTTTTTAAAAAAATCTAAAATATAATTAGGATAATTATCGAGTTTCTAACCAAATGCATAATTATTATCTTTAATAAAAATTATATTATTAAACCAAAAATAAATTAATTTGTTATTATATATAATTAATACATAATAAAAAATTGAATTAAATAAGTTACAAAAAAAACAAAAACTATTAAATAGTTAATTTAATACTAACATCGATTTTTTTTTAAAAAAATTATGTTATTTTCAAATTTACATTTCATTCAAAAATAAAAACATTATCGCCTTATCAAAATCACATAAAATTATATTACATTGATAGAGGCAAATAATAAAAATTAAACATTAAAATAAAAATTTATCTCGTTGCATCGTGCGAATACCCTTATAATATATATAAATCCATATTGGGACATAAGAAAAGGTTAGTATAAAAAATAACCAAATAATTATCATTTTATTATATCATCGTTTAATAAAAACTCAATTAATTAATAATTTTCATCACTTTATACATTCATCCGCACCTGACGTGTAATGATTAAATAATTCATTAAACTTTTTCTGCAATAAATTGGTGTAGGTCACTAATGGAGTTTTTTATCCATGATTCTGTTATTTACTGAATTACTTATTCATAACTGGAAAAAGACTGATTGGGTCCATTGAAATAAATTGCGAGAGAAACAGAGAATATTACTACTGTATAAACGAAAAGTTTGAAAGTAAGCATTACACAACCTCCAAGATCATTTTTTTGAAAGAAAAAAAAGGAGAAAAGATAATAAATTCTCAAAAAATGTTTTCAGATACCGTTATCCAATTACAATCCGTCTTTGCTCACTGGATACAAAACACCCACGCTTTAGCACCTGGTGCATTTTTTTAAGTATATAATATTTATATATGTTAAATAGAACAAATAAACTCATACACCCTCCTCACATTTGGTGAGATTTGAACCCCTGACCTTCTATGAGACCAAAAACCCATATACCGCTAAATTAAATACCATTTAGTATAATTGGTTAACTTATAAGATAATAATTTTCTAAAAAAACACATAGGTCCATAATGCATAAATTAATTAATACCTTTTTATTGAAATTTAATTTATACATTAATTAGTAACTAGAAGAGTACTTGTACAATGCAGCAAGATGCATATCGATTGTAATGTTCTATTTTATTGTTTGTCTCTGTCGATGTTATAATACGATTTTATGTGTTTTTAAAAAACCAGTAATGATTTTATTTTCGAATAAAATATAAATTTGAATATATCATGAAAATTTTGAAAAAAAATATATCAATGTTAATATCAAAATCAACTATTTAAAAGTTCTCATTTTTAAGGTAATTTCTTTAATTTATTTTTTTATTATAATTTAATTTAAGTTTAATAACGAAATAATTTATTTTTGGTTTAATAATATAACATTTTATAAAGATAATAATTAAGTATTTTGTTAGAACTCAATGATTATCCTAATTATATTTTAGATTTTTTATATTTAAAATGAGATGTTTATCATGTAATTAATTATGTTTATCTACAGTTAGTGACATGAATTCAAATATGAAGCTTTAATAAGTTGTATTTACGCACAATCTATTTGCAATCTTGAGTTTTAAGTAATATGCATTAATAAACAGTATTTTACGCATAAAAATTGATTTTTAAGAGTTTTTATCAAATGGTTATAATATAGTATAGATTATTAATTTACTTTTAGATTAATATTTTGATAATAAATTTTCATAGTTTTGATGTCATTAATTTTTTAAAGCTATATTATATTTGACAAATTCATTTTAAAAGTTAAGTAACATGCAAACCATAATCACACCAAAATAATATAACTTAAAACTAAAAAACACACCAAATTTTATAATAAAACGTACCGTCAAGCGACACAGAAATCGTTCATGAGAGCTTAAACCCGCCATTTCTACGATACCAGCTTCTTCTAGGGTTAAAAAGCTTCGTCTTTCCGAGTTCTTTTTCTCTTCTTGTCCATCAATGCTAGCCCTTAACGTCACCCTCGTTCTGTAACAAGTTCTAACATTTACAGATGAATTTTGAATTCGGGTATTTAACGAACGATCAGATAAAAACGTCGAACCGTAACCGATGGTTTTGCAAGATTTTAGTGCACTCATGGTGGTTTTTGGGTTACAAGAACACCCTTCAAGAAGATGAGGAAGATGACACACAACCAACCAATTCTAATGTTCAATTTTCTTTTGGATTATTTGATTTTGTGTATGTGGTGCATATTGAGATATGAATGTGGATAAACCCTATATTATTTTTAAATAAATTTACATTTTTTTTTTGTGAATTTTGATCCTAAGGTACGCGAGTCTTTGACCTCCTAGAACATCAGAGGTTCAAACCTCATCAAAGGTGAAGATGGTGTATAAGTTTATTTGTTCTATTTATCGTATATAAATATTATATATTTAAAAAACGGAGTAAACTTTTCCTAAATTTTTAAAGTTTCTAAAATATTATAGCTGTTGGAGATGCTCTTAAATTATTTTTATTAAAAAAATACCTCTTTTGTTGTCGTTTACCAAATGTTTACTCAGGTAAGAGCTTACTAAGTCACATTACCTTACTGGATGAATATGACATTGTTCAAAAATTTTACCCGGTAAGAACGAGATAAAGAACAAGAGTCGAACAAGAGTCTTAAGGGGTTGTTTATTTACCTCTTAACAGTTCCATTAAGAGGCAACCTCTGAATCGTCAAGAGGTGAATCTTGTTTGGCAGGAATTTTTTTTGCCTCTTAATGGTTCTAAAACCCTCTGAATGATTTTGTATCATGGATCTCCCTTAACCATCAAGAGCCCTAATTTTGTTGTACATAATTACCAAACAATTATAAATGTTTTTGTAATATATAAATCCAGAAAATAGGTTACCCATTGCTATAATAAATAGATTTTTTTAAATATTAATACGAATATAATTTGAAACGATATTATTATAGTAAGAAAAAAATAAAAATACAATTATAATAAAAAAATTTATAAAAGTAAGTTGTTATTTCATATAGGGCGAATCGCATGAAAAATAACGTACTTTAATTTGATTTATATTTTGGGTAACGTACTTTCAAAACTTTTATTTTGGTACCTAATAATGTAAAGTTTTAAACATTTAAGTACCCGGGCAACCAGTTAAAGTATTAATTTTTTTTTTTCAAATAAACCACAATACATAAAAACTAATTTTAGACTAAAATATCCATTAGACTAAAATATCCATGTCAGTAAATAATACTGAGTTGGATATCATATCACTCGCCACATCAGCATGATAACCGATTAATACTTCAACCGATTACCCAAATACTTAAATGTTTAAACAATAAATATCTCCAAAAAATCTACCTTTTAACAACCTTATGGTATTATTGAAGTTTTATGTAACGAAACGAAATATATACATAAACTAAACAAATGATTGGTAATACTACACACCACATATGAAAAGACCATTTTGCCCCTGTGTCTCGTTCTTGATGACATCCTAGAAGGGAAAAAGACTGTTTTGCCCCCTCTCTCCAAATCTTGATGATACCCAATTGGAGTAGAAAAGACCATTTTGCCCTTCTCTCTGCATCTTGATGATTCCCAATGGGAGGAAAAGACCATGTTGCCCCTGGTGAAGGCTGGTTTGGCTCAGTTAAGTCCCCAACAGCTCAGATACATGACCGTCCGTAGAGAGTCTTCAGTTTGCTTCGACTTATCGTCCAACTTTTTCAAACCTCCCTGGCCAGAAAACACCATTGCTGACTTCTTTGAGTTAATTGCAGTTAAGTCCCTCAAGTTCTTGATTATGACACTCTCACACTTGGAAGAAAATTGATCTTTCTGTTTCATCCTTCGCTCCCTTGTATCATCAACCACTAACCTTGCATTCAATCTGTGTGTTTCCGTGTGTGTGTTTAGTGTGTGTGTTTCCTAATGGGTTAAGAAAATGGAAGAGATCGTGAAGGTATATATGTGGGATGTGAGTCATGTTTGGAGGTGATATATATAGTGGAGCTTTAGGCCTTTTTGAATAATGTTCTCTTTAATCACTTGTAGTTTTATCTATTGTCACTTTTAGCCCGTGAATTCTAGTATTAGATGTTACGGTCCTTTTATTAAGTATATGACTGAATGACGATGATGTTACTTCTCGCATGTAACTGTAGGTTCAGTAGAATAGCTTGAAACATGATGAGTGATAAGAAATTCAGGATATTTGATCTTTTAACGTATGAACAGTAGTTAAATTTGTTTACTGTTTGTGTTTATAGTTTATTTAATAGAGAAAAGTTTCATTAGGAACCCGATAATCGTCCATAGTGCGCCACGTGTCCCGCTTCAGGATGAACATTAATCATGATCACACATTTATGATGAATATTGACGTATTACGAATGTGTTATTCATTATAAATCATACTTTCACGATGAATAACACACACACACACACATATATATATATATATATATTCATGAATCATGATGAAAATATGACGTGTCGAATAGTGGGTGGTTCCTGGGTTCCTAATCAATTTTAGGTTCTTTATGTAACCTGACCCTATTTATATATAGATTGACCTTATTGACCTATCTCTCGAGACTTCCCAAAGCCTCTTTATGAAGGTCTGCGGCCACATGAGCACAGTGGTTTTGCTTGTCAAGATGTTAAGTATTGCAATAGGAGCATTGCATGATCAGATTAAATGTATATGGACAACCTAGATATGAACCAAGAATCATGTTTTCTCCGTTTATGTTAGTCCCAAATCGACTAGACTTTGATCATTTATCCTCTACATATGCTGGAACATTCTCTCTCCTTAAAGGGTTCTTTTGGAGAATAAATATGGGGGTTCTACATATTCTCTCATCGTATCGGAGCCGAAGTCTCTCACTTTAGAGACTCGACATTCTGGGCAAGCTTTACTCGTCTAGCCCTTTCTTGACGTTATGGGACAAATCTATGTCCATCTAACCTTCGTTGAAGGAGGGCGTGTTAGAGTCTTACATCAGCAGTACTTATACTATTTCTCCTCTATATATGTTGGAACACATTTTCTCTCCTCATGAGCTCTTTTGTAAAATAAATCTGAAGGTTCCATATATTCTCACAGTTTACCTTCTTGGACCAATTACTGATGCAAGACCACTAATTTGGTCATTACGATTTTCAGCATCGATCACTTGACTCATGTAAAATATCTGAACACAAATTCTCATATCTTTAAAAAGTAGTAAACAATCGAGAAAAGGGAGTAACTTTCCATTATTTCTAAAGATTCCATCCATTTGAATTCATTATTCAATAATATAGGGGCCTTTTTGTATTAATTTCAAAACTTAGGGGTTGAAAGTGAAAATAAGTAGCCATCCGGTTCTAGAATGCATGAATCTGTCATATTCATATGGAAACTGTGGACTGAAGACGAAGGTTTGGAGGAAAACAACCGGCTGCAAAAATTGTTACCGGCCAATGGACAAAAAAACCGGGGGTGGGTTCCATTTCCGGGAGCCCAAACCGCCACATGTCGGTTACATTGAACTAGATATAAGATAAAGACAACAGGTCAATCATGATTTGTTGACTTCAAATTAGTTAGCATATCACATAGATAACGTATGGATATTATAATTCTTTAATATTTTATTAATTTGATACATATTTAGTAACGTATTAACTGTTTGTCGATTACTGAATGGTTTGTTATAGAATAATTAAGTAGTTAGAATAATTAAGAGATTCTCATAATATAATTGTTTGATAATTGTGTATGATGAAATTATGACTTTTAATGGTTAAGGGAGATCCATGATACAAAATCATTCAGAGAGTTTTAGAACCATTAAGAGGCAGACTTTTTTTGCCAGACAAGATTTACCTCTTAACGGTTCAACTGTTGCCTCTTAATGGAACTATTAAGAGGTAAACAAACAACCTCGTACTTCAACTTGATTCATATTTTCAATAACGTAATTTTCATTTTGGTATCTAAATGTAAAATTTTAAACATTTAAGTACTTGAGTAACTGGTTGAAGACTAATTTTAGATTAAAAAAAATACTAATTTTAGTTTAAAAAAAATTATATTACTAACCATGTCAGCAAATAATTATGGATTGGATACCGTATCACTCGTCACATGAACATGATAACCGGTTAATGCTTCAACCTGTTACCCAGATACTTACATGTTTAAAATTTTACATTTTAGGTACCAAAATGGAAGTTTTAAAAGTATTTTACCCAAAAAAAAATTCTCACGTAGTGTAGGAGTAGTTTCTGTGCATATCAGTTTGATCTCATAGGGTTCTGAAGATAACAGTCAGAAAAATCATCGGTGATCTTGAGGAGATTCGAAATGACGGCATGTGGGCAGAAGGCCTAAGGCCTAACTTTAATTTATCAGTTGATAAAATGGTAGACGTCATCCATTTATTTGTCTATTTATCAGTTTAGCTATTCCTTAAGGCTAGAGTTTTGATTACTAAATGTCTCATACTGAGCAATAAAGCAAAACAAGAGAAAACATCAAATGATCTTTTTTGTGATCAGTTTTCTTTACGTTTTTATAGTCCATAATCACAATATCAACTATGAAATCTTTTAAGTTTTGTATTACCACCTTCTTTAAGGTGTCAATAGTAGACATGATAACGGAGCGGAGATGGGGCGGGGTTTTGTAATCCTCGGCCCAGGCCCCGTTTTTTAGTAACAACCCTCAGTCCCCCCGCAGATATAGGGATTAACATCTCGTCCTCGGTCAAACCTTGGTCCCCGGTCAAACCCCAGTCAAAATCGTCACTTTAATTCTAAGAATAACTTGTTTAAATGAATATTAGTATACCGGGTGCAGGGTCGGTCGGGGATACAGTATGCGGCCCCGTCCCCAACCCTGGTTTGAGTCTACCAGGGATCTTCGGGACCCGTTTTAGCGGGGAATTTCTGTTCCCATTCAGGTCGGGTGAGACGGGTTCCCCATCGGGTCGGGTCAAATCACCATCCTTAGTCAATAGTGTAAAAATGGTGATCAAAGTTTAGCTCTAATAATACAGACCCAAACTTGTTTGTTCCCAATAGACAAAAAGATGTTACGAACACATTGATTTATGTATATGATAGACGTTGCAAAAGTTTAATCGAAGAGGGTCCCAACTAGACCCATCTATTGTCGGGATAAGAACATTTGATGACTAAAAAGGACATTACCGACGATCTTCAAATATCACGATTATTTGAACCAGACGAATATAAAGAGACTACACGACATTCTTTAATAATATAAAACAATATCTTCCAATCAGCCTGATTATGACTTTCAAGATCAATAATTTTACAGATCTAAGTCAAACTGATCAATTATTAAACCATATAATATATCGCTATTTTTTATATAATGATATGTCACACCCTGTGTTGGTGGTTTATATTTATCGTTTATGTATTATTAATAATTTACAGGGCAGGGCAGTCGTTCCCACCAATGTTTGTGGTTGATAATTTTTTTAAAAAAAAATTAATATAAAATCATGAATTTAGGGTATGTATGTTTTTTCAAAATTACCTCTTAATACCTATGAATTTTGATTCGTTCAGACGTTTGAATATTAAGAGCGTTTGTTTTATTTTATAAAATAAGAGTTTAAAAGCTCTAAATCTCCTCTAAAGCTTAAGTGGTAAATATATTCCTTAATACCTCTTAATCCTAATCCGTTCTCTATCAAATGGTTCATATTTTGGGGTCGGAAGAGATTTGTTAGCAAAAACTATTTATCTTTTATACTTTTCTAAAAAAAAAACTATTTATCTTTTATATTTTTGCACTAGTTTGACCTATTCGGATTTCAGATGTAAAAAAAAAACAATCTTACTGATCCAGATTTTAGACTTCAGGACCACCTCTTATAAAATCAGAAGTGAAATTAGATTTCAGACTTCAACACTTTTTAAAAAACAAATGTTAACTTAATAAAACTTTGCACCTTAAATACATATTATAATCAGTTTACAAACGTTGTTTCTCATGCCAGTTTTGTTAGAATTTCTGGGTGTTTCGATTGCTTGGATTACTGAAAGTTGTGATTCACTTTCAGATTGAAATATTTCGACGGTACAATCGAAACTTCAATCGGATAAAATTCAGTAATTCGAACAGATAATCGATGTTATGACCACTTTCCGTACCTACGAAAATCAAAATGACCAATTCAAAAACTGTCAAAACCGGCAGTTTCAGAACCACCAAACCGGGTTTATAAAATAGGGCCAAAAACCGGTTCAAAATGAACAAATTCGGATTTTCGTGCATTTTCCATATAGTAACATTAACCTGAATAAAAAATTTCCAAGCTCGACCCCAGCTAGGGGCTTTGCCCCTTGGACCCCACTACCAGGGGTGCTGCCCCTGGACCCCGTCGTTTAAGGGATTCACCCCTAAATAACGGTATACTTTAAATCGAAATAAACTCAAACAAGTGTGCACTCCGCACTACCCTTACTTGTTCAATATTTATCAAGATTACATTGATCAACAAATTAATCCCATTACACATAAATGATATTGGTGATATAAATCACCAACAAGTTTTCTAGATCCGCTAGTACTACGCAAATAAGAAGTTTGAATCTAGTGCTTTTTTTATTTTTACAGCTTATGATTTGTCATTCTTTTAAGGGCAAATTGTATGAAAAAATAACGTACTTTAATTTGATTCATATTTTAGGTAACGCACTTTCAAAACTTCTATTTTGGTACCTAAGATGTAAAGTTTCAAACATTTAAGTACCCGTGTAACTGGTTGAAGCATTAACCGGTTACCATGCTGATGTGGCGAGTGAGATCAACATAGATATCTTAATATTGAGTTGGATACCACATTATTCGTCATATCGACATGGTAACCGGTTAATGATTCAACCAGTTACCCATGTACTTAAATATTTAAAACTTTACATCTTATGTACCAAAATTGAAGTTTTGAAAGTACGTTATCCATAATAGGAATTAAGTTAAGGTACGTTAGTTTTCATGCAATTTACCCTTCTTTTGATACCGATACATTATTTGACGACAAATACTTACGTTTTAATTTGCGTGTATGTTTATTATATAATACAGTGTGTATTAAATAATACAGTTTTAAAATACTAACAGTAAGTCATTTTTAAAGCATAACATGTATTCAAATAGATATTAAGATCGGTTAAACTTTATTAAATGGCATATGAGTTTAACTTCAAGATGATCGGTTCAAGCTTGACTTTGACTTTTACCGTGTTATCTTGCTTGAGTTCGATTCATATTAGATTGTAGCTCGATCATGCATTTGAAGCTCAAAAATCTAAGCTCCAACCAGGGTTTGGCTGAGAACTTAACATCTAATCTCGACTCAGATCTATTTGACGAAAAATATATGTTTTTTTTAGTATTTAATTAGTAAAGTTGGTGAATCTATTCGACTAAGTGGATATTCACGTGTCGTTGAAAATATCTAGTATGATAATACATAATTATGTATACTATATAATAAAACATTTGATAAAAACTCTTAAAAACCATTTTTTGTCCATGAAGTACTGTTTATTGATGCATATTACTTAAAATTCAAAATTACAAATAAACTGTGCGTAAATACAACTTATTAAAGCTTTATTTTGAATTCGTGTAAGTAACTGCATATAAACATAGTCAAAGACAAGATAAACATTTCATTTTAAATATAAAAAATCTAAAATATAGTTAAAATAATTATTGAGTTCTAACAAAGTGTTTAATTATTATTCTTATAAAAAATATATTATTAAATAAAAAAATAAATTACTTTGTTATTAAATCTAAATTGAATTAAAGAAATTACACAAAAATAAGAGTTTTTAAATAGTTAATTTGTTACTAATATTGATATATTTATTTTATTCAAAAATAAAAAAAAACATTGTTCATTTCTCAAAACCACATAAAAGTCGTATTATAACATCTTCAGAAAAAAAAATGAAACATTAAAATCGAGATATATCTCGCTGCATTGCGCAAGTACCCTTCTAATGCTAAATAATTTGAACAAGTTATTCAACAGTACTCAATCTAGATTACGGGATACACGTTGACAAACAAAACATATCAGATTTCTACATCCGGTACGTTCATGAGTGTTTATAAACATAAGAAAAAAAGCACAAATTGATTCAAATTTTTTACCACATTTCAAAATAATGCTCGATTTATATAAAACCATGTAATATGTCAAAACACGCATTACTTTTCATCAAAAGCAGTATAAGCTCATGATAAACAAAATTCACATAACTTAATATATAAATCTCATAAATGAAGTAGTTAATCGCGGGGTTACAATTGTCTTTTTTATAGTGATGAAATCCTGTATGTGTTCCTAAGAAAACGATGGATCCTAGGCGGCTAGACGTTATGCGTATCGACCATGGTAAGATAAACGTTTACCGGGTAAATTGTTGCATACGATGCCGTTTTGGTGGACTAAAATCTTACCCGATAAATAAATGATAGTGTTAAATTTTTACCGATAAACGCTTACCGGATAAGTGTTTGTTAAACACTGCTAAGTCATATACTAAAAACTAAAAAGTAAGACACAAAAAGGAGGGATTTAACGGGCCAGGTTTGGAGGCTAACTAGGCCCAGCCTTTTTTGGGCCGCATTCGGGTCGGACCTAGGGGATCGGGGCTCTTTTTTTCATCTCTTGTTGTCGGTGTATTGTTCCCGCCATGGATCCATCCCTGTTTCAATCTGCACTGCAAATCCCAACTACTATGGCTCACCGTCGATCCTCTGTATCGTCAGTTACCCGGCGGTTTATGATGTGGTCGGAATCCTATCACTTTAGATACTTGAACATCTTCTTCCCCCAATTTCTAGGGTTTTCGACTGATAAATCATTATTGATTTGTTTGTTTCTGTTTGGCAGATCGACTTCTGTTGCTGAAGAAAATTGGAAGGTAGGAACTCGCCATTTGTGTATTGACATAAGTTTCCATCATCTTCCTTTATTCGATTTTCGCTTGCTGATTAATTTTACTGTGTTTATAGTACTAACACTTCTATAGTTCTATACTTCTATCTATCAAAGATGAAATACTTTCAAAATTCAAACTCAATATCAACTTTATCAGGTTTTGATTGGTATTATTCCCTCTAATCACGAAGATTGCAACAATTTGTATTTGAACGTGTCATCAAATTGCAATGTTTCCTGTTCAAAGTTCAAATTATCCATTTTATTCGTTGTCATAAATCGAAATTGATGATTTTCGCTTGCTGATTAATTCGTTGTCAGGGAGCTGAGGATGAAAAATAATCAGCAAGCAAAAATCGAATAAGGCAAATGATGGAAACTTACGTCAATAACAGATGGTGAGTTCGTAGCTTCCAATTTTCTTCAGCAACAGAAGTCTTTATCTGCCAAACAGAAACAAGCAAATCATTAATGATTTATTAGTTGGAAGCCTAGAAATTAGGGGAAGACAGTGTCCAAAGAGCTATTAAGCCTTTTTGGATAGCCATCTCTTGTTGATGTGATAAGAAGACAGTTTCATTAGTTATGGGACTGTTACATCCCTAGAGTTGCCTTAATTGTGGGTGAGCACCCTAGATATCAGAGTCTGGTTTCCGTGAAAGACCCCCGGCTTGTGCAAAGTATGCTAAAAGAAAAGATAAAACTTGCTCAAAGAATGTGCGGAACTAGAACATGAGAAGAACTTGAAAGAATAAAAGGTAGTCCTAAAATTTGAAAAAGAGTTAGAAGTAAGCAACGTTCAGAACGACATGCAAACAAACAAATAGAAATTACAAACAGAAGCAAGTACAAGAAAACTTAACCAAAGTTTTTCACTGTCGATAAAGCCAGTTCTTCTACTCAAAAATGCCTCTCACCCTCCTACCATGATCCATGTGTCCTAACAGTGGCAAAGTAGTAGTTATGCTAGACTCGTACAAGTAGAAAGTGTCAACCATGAAAATAGAGTACAAACCTCCCACACTAGTAGGCAAAGTAGAGCACTAGTCCATACTTGCATTTCCAGCATAGTTCGTATTTTCTAAATCTAGGACAAATCTTAGGGGCTGTTTGGTTGGTTTTCCATCAAGTCTTGTATGGGTAAAGCTACCTGTGTGGACTAGTCCATCTGTAAAGATTGAGAAGATTTTTGTTTGGGAGTGATCGATCATAGATGGAATGAGCGTGTTTTTATTTATTTATTGAGAGGGGCATGTTTGAAAAAAACTTGGCTTTCTGCATAAAGCTCCCCCCTAAAAGGTTACCGAATAAGCCACTCTTTATATCATTAAGCCACTACTAAACAATCATGAATAGAGAATGGCTATCAACACTACTTTTATTTAAAATAATACTATTGATTTATCTTTTGCTTAATCAATTCTTCTAGAACACTTGTTGTCTTGATTAAAAATCACTCTTAGAGAGGAGCTAATCTTGCTTCTTCATCACAAGAATCAGGTTAAAGCCATTCTGTTTGCAGACAATGGTTCTTCACACAATAGTGGGATGAGCTACCGAGGTTAGTCATGGAGGCTTTAGGCATTTCCTCGGAAGGGTGATGGTCAAGGGGGTGAGGAGGGTTCAATTCCAAGCGTCCACAACAATTGTGGCCACTAAGTTTATAAGGGCTGATGTCTTACAGTCACAATTTGCTTGGATTAGTGTGGGCATAGCCTGGGACACCCTTCTAAGAAAAAAGGGGGCGAGGAGGACGGGTAGTTAAAGGACATGGGCAGACCTAGATTGGGGCATACTGTGGCCCGTGCCACCACTTCATGGTTCCTTTGTAGTGGAAAAAATTACGTTTATGAAGCATGCCACTGTAATATTTTACTGTGTGCTCTTATATTTCTTACAAAAGATATGACAGAAGTTTAAGGTGGTTGAGTTGGTTTAAGGCGCTAGGTTTACGATTCTGCTCTTCAAAAAAGCATAAGGTCGAACAATGCCCTTAGCAAAATTCCCCTTTTTTAGCTTATAATATTAGGCTTCTATTTTAAAAAATATATTGACTAGAGCAATTGCACAAAGACTTGAACCAATGACCTTTGCTTGCGAACACAAGCAAGCAACCAACTAACCGATCATGACTTTGTGAATTTCTTTATAGCTTTCACCCTAATGGTCAAATGGTGTTGCTGTTTGAAAAAATTCCGGGTCCACCTCTTGTTGAGGAGGACGTGGAATGAGCTATTGAGGTTAGACAAGACGGCTTTAGGCATTTTTGATGACATGGTGGAGACATAGGACCAGGATAGCGGACTAGGGGTGGGGATCCATTAGCTAGGAGAGGTAAGAGGGTGGGAGATAAGGTTAGACTAGGGTTGTGTAGTTTCCTTAAATTGGTTCCTTTTACCTGATTTTATTTGTACGTTATTACCTCTCTTAACAAGTTTTTCAAATTCTTATCATTTTTTACTCTCTTTGTCATACTTTTCACAAGCCGGGGGTCTTTACAAAAACAAGGGAAACTGGCACGAACATCCATTTTGGCTGACCAAATTCACCTCTTAGCCATTTATCTCCCACTTTTTCAACAAAATCACCACCTTCACAAGTAACCATTTCTCAACTTGTGGAGTGGTAAAAAAAAACTCTGAACATAGTCCACAAGTAACACATCCGCAACAGGGACCAAATAAATGAGTCTAAATACTTCAACTTGTGAAAGTGCTACTTGCAGAACCGTTCAAAAAGTTGTCTCTTTTGGCCCCTCCTCAAGTTGAGGAAGTGTTACTTGCGGAGGTGGTGATTTTGTTGAAAAAGTGGGAGAGAAATGGCTAAGAGATGAATTTTCTCAGCCAAAATGGCTAGTTTTGTTAATTTCCCCGTAAACAACCACCTTGTTATTGGGGTGGAGGTCAGGTTTGCGCACGTCTTACCCTTCTTAGACCCCACCTTTGGTAGGATATACTAGTTTCGTTTGGTTTGGTTCTTCCCAAAGAATTGTTAGGATTGACAATCATACACATATAGTAACACAGTAATTGTAGGAAATGAAATGATGTCAACAAAGATGGAAAAACTGCAAATAATTGCAAATGTTTTGGAAGTTTCTAGATATGGTTTGGTTTCTATTTTAGATTAATCAACTTTTAGATTTGGTCTATTTTGTTATTGCTACATATATGCTATTAAATAACCAACTTCTGATTGGTGCAGGTGTCACAAACTGGGATTTCATGGAGACATTTTTCTTGAATAGTGGCTCATCTAACCTTCTTTAAAATATTACACACACAGCTCGGGTATTTCTAAACTGTTTCTCTCAAATTATCATCTGCCATGTGTCATTATTTTATTGGTTTGATCATTTCCCAGTATGTTCTAGGTGCATTTAGGGCCTAAATTTAATTGAATAGTAAAGTAATCTGAGAATGATTTGGTTAGCTAAAACCATAATGTGGATTCAATTAAAGCTGCTGATGAATGTGCTGTTTGCCCTTTTTCCATTAAGTTCTGTATAGATAAAGCTTCTGTGTGGATTTATTTGTCTATATAAATTGGGAAGATTTTTGTTTGGAAGAGTTTTTTCATAGATGGAAAAAACGTATTTTTTTTAATCGGGAGGAGTGGGTTTGAAAAAAACTTAGTTTTCTGCATAAAACTCACCCTTAGAAGCTTACTGAATAAGCGAATTTCTATATCATTAAACCACTATCAAATGGTCATGTATAGCTAACCGAATAAATTGTGAGTCCCATTAAGTTTATTAAGTTGTTAACAAACAGGCTGTAGGCTCTGAGAAGAAGTGTGAATACTTGATATAACCTCTTCCAGCTTGATTAGTTGATTTATGTTAGAATATGTGGAACTCTATTAGATTACTTTCCAAAAGAACCCTCGAGGAGAGAAGGGTGGTTCCAACATATATGGAGGAGAAATGCTCCAAGTCCATCTGATGGTGGACTCCTACACCACTACACACCCCCTCCAATGGAGGCTAGACGGTCACATGTTGTGCCTAAGTGGTAGACCTTGACTCTAATACCATGATAAAATACGTTAGACTACTCTTGAAAAGATTCCTTAAGGAGAGGATGGCGGTTCCAACGTATAAAGGAGAAAAGAGGAGAAAATGGTACAAGTTTAGGTGATGTGGGAGTCCAACACGCCCCCTCCAATAGAGGCTAGACAAGCACATATCGTCCCGAAGTAGCTATGATACCATGATAAAATACATTTACTCTTGAAAAGATCCCTTAAGGAGAGGAAGGTGGTTCCAATATATATGGAGGAGAAATGGTCCAAGTCTAGCCGACGTGGGACTCCAACTCGCCCCCTCCGATGGAGGCTAGACAGGCCCAGAGCGGCGAGTCCCTAGAGTGGTAGATCTTGGCTCTGATACCATAATAATCTGCACTAGATTACTCTTGGTTACAATTTTCAATTCTCAATGAAAGCTAAATTTATTTGCAACTTCTAAATTCCCATTAAAGATTATTCTTTGTCAATGCATACAATTTTTCAGTTATGGCATTTGACAATCTTGAATCTAACTCGATCCCCAATACATCATGAATTTTAGTAATTTTCTTATACTGAAAATATTTGGTATACTCAGATCATCTCCAACAAGAAGAACAGAAAGTAAAAATCTGTAAACAAAATTACATTCAACTCTAATAGATTTTTTATTTTTGAGATTTCAACATTAATTATATTATTAAAATATTCTATAGTTTTATTATCCCAATACCATTTTTTATATGCTGACTTGTAATATTTAGGGGTTGTTTATTGTCTCTCTTTACCACCTCTTACCGGGTAAGAGGCGCTTGCCAGGTAAAAAATGTTGCTATCTACCAAGTCCCTCTTACGGTCTATATGATGTTGATCAAGATGCTAATCGGGTAAACTAAGAGAGGGACTCTTACTCGGCCAGTGATTAGTACCGACTCAAATTGTACTCTTACCTAGTTAACACTTACTCAATTTATGCTGATAAACGACCCTTAGAGTACACTTGTTGAACCTATAGGAGTTTGTGCAAGAAAAAAGCAAAAAAATATATGTTAGATTCCACATATACATAAATAAATTATTGGATTGCTCTCCTTCCCCATTAGGTATAAAATTAGATATGATAAACTAATAGCAGCTCCTACATATAGCAGAATGATATCCATACACTTTGCATGGACTTGCTTAAAATAGTAAGAAATGCATTGCACACCTCACATGGTCTAGATCTCCAATTCTAGAAATTGCCTTAAACTATTCCTCCCTATATTATATATGTGTGTATATATCTATATCTATATCTATCTCCAATTCTAGAAATTGCCTTAAACTATTCGTCCCATATATATATATATATATATATATATATATATATATATATATATTTTCTATGGGAATGATTCAAACGAGAACACCTTCATTTTACGAGAACGCAAGAACACCCTTTTACTATAGACAATCACATGTGATACTATTATTTCATCATGTATGATACACATGTGATACTAAATCAAAGACACAGGCGATTTTTTAACGCGATCTTGGTTGAGGGCCAAGTCGCCTTTACACCACTAAGCCCCCTCACAAGTATTATCACATGTGATAAGGATGTTGGTGATATGATACTATAATCCATCAAGACCATCACATGTGATGCTAAATCATAGACGTAGACAACCTTTGGCCCGACCTAAGTCGTAGAACACGTCCTCTGCACATTACAAGGTCTCCTCATGCGTATTATTATATGTATAAGGGTGTTCACGCGTTCTCGTAAAATGGAGGTGTTCTCGTTTGAACCTCCACCATATTTCTAAATATATATATATATATAGAGAGAGAGAGAGAGAGAGAGAGAGAGAGAGAGAGAGAGAAATGAGCGATCAAATGCAAACCACCCAATTTGTACAAACCGTGCAAACCACCCTTATTCTTGTTTAATTTTGTAAATTTTTTTCATGAAATTGTTTTATATAATACTTTTTTTTTGATGAAGTTGTATGAAATTGTTTCATATAATACTTAATGAAATTTAATGAAACTGTTTCATGTATTTCTCTAAAATTAAAATAATGAAGATGATAATACTCATGATTAACACCCTCCACAATAAAAATGATTAATCAACCTCTCATAATTATAAAAAAATGAATAAAATGAAAAATTATGATTGGTTGAATGAAGTTTGTATGGTTTATACAAATAACGTGGTTTGTAAAGTAAACCTGATATGTGTGTGTGTTTTTTTTTTAAATGAATTCAATGGTTGGTGGTATAATGGAATACATTAATTGGACAATCCACCTAATATGATGGAACTAATTAGTAGGACCACATGTGTGATTAATTGTTGCTGGCATTTTCCAATTGGAGAATGTAATTAATAAAAATGTTAGTGAGTGTATATGCTTACTCATACTATTTTGGGATTTTAATATGTTATGGGATGCCTTGATGATAGGAGACATTAAGCCAAGATTATGATCTTATTATTATTAATTACACACTATTAATTATGGTCAAGCAAAAAGTCAAATGTAAACTAGGTGTATATTTTGATGGTTTACAGCTGTAGAATGATTAGGTGTAGAATGATTATGTGGTCAGAATGATTAAGAGTCTCTTATGATATAGTGCAAAATGAAATATAATTGTTTGGTAATTGTTTACAACGAAATTAGGGTGCTAAAACAAGATTCACCTTTTAACCATTTAGAGGGTTTTAGAACCATTAAAAGACAAACTTTTTTTTTTTGCCAAACAAGATTCACCTCTTAACGATTTAAGAGGTAAACAAACAACCCTTTAAACTTATAATTATGATTTTGGTTCATACATGTTTTGCTATTATTATGATATTTTAGGTTGTTTTTTTTTATCATCTATAGTTTTATACAATAGATATGAATGCTAGAGACATAGGAGATTGCTTGTTTGTAACTTAAGAGCATCCAATGTAGGAGGTTTTATAGGTAAAAAACAAAACATTATTTTATAAGTTTTAAAAAAAATATATTTTTGACTTACATATCCACATTAAATTTAACTAAAAGTGGATTATTGTAAGTCAATACCACACTATATGTAAGGATGGTGATTTGCTCCAATACGGTGGGGAACCCGGTTCTTCCGACCCGAATGGGGACGGGGATTCCCTGCTAAAACGGGTCTCGGGGCCGGGGCTGGTGATCCCCGGTAGACTCAAACAGGGGTCGGGGGATGTTACTCAAACTGGGGTCAGGGTCGGGGTCGAGGTCGGAGCCGGCAGTCCCTGCTAGACTCAAACTAACATATATTTTTCATGGGGTTTGACCGGGGATCGATCTAGGGTTTGACGGGGCCGGGATGTTAATCCCTGTACCCATCAGTGACCGGGGTTGGGGCCGGGGATTACAAAAACCGTCCCATCCCCGCCCCGTTGCCATGCCTGGTAGCATGGAGGTCTTTAATTTGTTGAGTTGATTCTAATGTGACAAGAAAAAGTATAAATATAACTCAATTGGAGATGTTCTAATGGGCTTAGGTTATGTTTGTTAAACTAGCCGATAACTAGTTAATGGCTAAAAAACTGGCTTTTGGCTGATAAACTAGTAATTTTTGACAAAAAAATAGTTGATAAGCTAGATGACAATATAAAATGACCTAAAAATACACATTAAAAAATTAATTAGAAAAATATAAAGAGCGTTATTGGAATTTCTTTTGAAAAGAACCCCACCTAAGCTTATTAGTCCTGTTTCAGACAACTACTTTATAACTAACCAAATTTAGTTTGTGCAGTAGACGTATAATTATTGACAAACCCAATAAATTGTATAAATTTACAAAACAGTTTTTATGTATTGTTTAACATTTGAAAGTACAATGTTTTTTTTTCATATGTAATATGTTCATGACTGTTTTCTATGTAGAATAAAAAGCAGTTATGGATGTTTCATATATGAAATAACACTATATCAACATTGCCTTTTTATTGTTTCATAGGTGAAACAACACACAAAAACTAGTTTGTAAGTTTGTACAAATTACTGGGTTTGTAAAAAGCTAGGTCTCTTGTTTAATAAACTCAAAAAATACTATAGTTTATAGTTGTCGAATATAACTGGTTAATTTACTTAGTCATAACATACGTCTAAATCTTACCCATTAAATATGATTATATAAACCACCAAAGGGCCTTTGGCTTAGTGATATCGTAGTCTTTGGTTTTCTAAGAGGTTAGGGGTTCAAATCTCACCAAAGGTAAGGATTGTGTGTAAATTTATTTGTTGCATTTGTCGTATATAAATATTATGTTTTTAAAAAAATATATATATTTATATAAACGTAGATAGTATTAAAATGTGTCTATAAACTTGCAACAAAAACTTGACAGATTGATGAGAGTAAATAAATATTTGACGAAAGATGAGGAGCAAGACTTTTTGACACATCAAGTCTCAGACATAGGATTCACATGAGCCTTGCTTCTTTTCATCAAATCAACAATAATT